CGGCCCGGGGGGGCCGTCAGTCAGGGCCGGGGGCGGGAACGGCCGGGGGCTGCGTGTGCCTGAGGGGGAGAGCGGCGACATTCCTGTCAGGATTTCTGAGGCACAAATCTGACAAGCCCCATCCCTGGAGGTGTTCAAGGCCGGGTTGGACGGGGCTTGGAGCAACCTGGGCGGGTGGGAGGTGTCCCTGCCCAGGGCAGGGGGTGGAACTGTGTGATTTTCAAGGTCCCTTCCAACCCAAACCGCTCTATGGTTCTATGATTTTACGTTCTGGTGCGGGAGCAGGTCATCCCGCAGCCTGGTCTGTGCTTCTCCGTGTTGGCTGTGAGCAGCCGCTGGTGTGATGGGATTCGGGCTCGGAGCCTCGCCGCATTGCTTTTTTTCAGAGGTCCTGACACAGGCGTCTAAATATAAAGCAGTAAAAAAACCCCCAAGAACTACTCACTCTGCTTTCTGAAACATAATCTTGCATTTTATTTGAGATTGGATTCCAACCACATAGAAGTATTTAACTTCAGTCACTTCTTTGCCGCTATCCCAGGACTCAGCATTACGTTTCTGTCCAGTTGCTTGGCTTTTCTATTTTTGTGGCAACGCTCTTCTCCTATTTATATACAAAAAGGCTGTAAGTAAAACCTGGGGTTTTTTTCCCTCACCTTCCAGGCCGTGCCATAATCTGTTCTCAGGCACCCTAACTGACCTTGCTTTGTTTGTTCTCTGGGGCTTATCTGGTAAAGAACTATAGATCCGCATCTCAGCTTTCACTTTCTGCGCTGTTGCAGCCTGACTGTGCCTTGGCCTTTTCCAAATCTGCCCTGGCCTCCCCCTCGATGTATTTTCATAGTGTGTGCACTCTTCGTGCTCTGTTCTGAAGAGTTTCAGTGGAACAGCCCGGTGACTGAGGGGAAAGCAAAAATCCCCTTTGGTATGATTTTGAAATGCTCCACTTGTCAGATCTCTGCGCTGTACAATCTACGTACCGTTCTATTTAAACACCACGTGAACAGAAGTGCTGGGTTTTCGAGGCCTGATTGCTTACAGCTGTCTTCCAGCATTAAGTCCCGAACGGAAGAGTTAACAGGCAAGCCTTAGGAAAAGAGCTTTCAAAAATATGTAAGCCCAGTAATCCACTCAGACTGGCTAAGGCCGGGGTGCTTTTCACTAGATTCCTACGCTGCTTCATCCCACAGCTCCTGTGCTGAAGATCAGTGTCAGGACAGTAACGTCCTGTTTCCCCCATGGAGACAGCATGGCTTCATGGAGCCAAAGAAAAACAAGTGTTACTAAATTTAAGCCTCAAGCTGAACTTCAGGTTCCTATAGAACCAGCTTCATACCGTGGCTGTTGCAGCTGTCTCACTTCCACTGTGTTTTCAGCTGGTTCAAATGTCTTTGAGGATGGAAGAGTCTGAGCAGTCATAGTTTTAGCATATGCTGATTCACTTACTGCTATTTAAGGTAGGCCACTGTTAGTAATGTTGACATAACGTTTTAGCATTCTCTCTTTTGACTGCCTGTTACTGGCTTACTGAACAGAGTCCGGTATCTGAAACGCTGCACAAAGGACTCTGGAGCAGTTTAAGGCGATGAAACAATCTTACAGAAATGATGTTCTTGAGAGGCTTCCTTGAAGAAGTACAGAGGTGGATGCAAATGGCTAGAGCAATAAGAAAAAGGCAATAGAAGGTTGTGGGAGAAGACCCTAATGTATTACTAAATAGTATCACTGTTTTAATATGCAGTTGTATTTTCAAAGGGCATTTCCAAATTAGTACAGGAGCAGGGAAGAATCCTCAAATAAAGATTAAGAATTACTGTTCTATTTTTACAGGTTATCTTGTGAATGAAAGAGCTGAACAGATTGTTCATGAATTCTAGAGGGCGCCTAGGCTGAGGCAATGGAGAGAATGGTACTAGTATGCATTTTGGTTTTAGACTATAAAAATACATTGATTTCAAGGGAAAAAAAGGTTCTTTCTGATTGCAGTCAGTAGCAGCAAATACAGGAGAGAAACTCTTAGCCAATTCATAAACTTCTAATGACTCAGTTAATTTGAACCCTTATGGGGCGTCTGCAAGCTCTGATCACACAGTGTTCCTGATAGTATCTGGTACTTGTTCAGGCTTCACAGAATACACATTTTTGGATTTTGTTTTACAAGCACTTGCACCACAAGCCTCTTTCTTAGAGGGTCTTGAAGTTTCGGCTTGTTTGCTGAATCCGTCTTCTCATTTAGAATTTGCTTCACAGGAGCCGTGGAGATGTCTCGTAAGAGCCCTTTTGCCTCCTGGCTTTGTGCTATGCTCCACTGCTTTGGAAGTTACATACTTGCTGATCTCTTACTTGGAGAATCACCTATTGATTACTTCAGTAATAACTCCAGCGTCATCCTGGCCACAGCAGTCTGGTGAGTCTTTTGCACTTCACCTAATTTATCAAGCATGAGATGCCGCTGGCTGTGTACAAAACCATCTGGTGTGAGGGAAAGTATTCTGTCAGTGTGACACGTGTGTATTGTCTTGCTTGGATTAACTGGGGAAAGACGTGGGGCGAGGTAGTCTATGAGTCTTTCTTTGAGGCTTTTGTATTCCTAGATCTAGTTTGCAGTTTCTCTGACCGGTTGTCCAGTGCTTTGATTATATGGGTCGGGTCCAGCCCAGTCACTGGGCGTTTCTATTCATAGCTGCTGCAGCTGAACAGTGGCCAAACCACAAGAGCAGCGTGCACTGAGCTGATACCACATATAGTAGAGGAGAGGCACGTTTGGGGGCACTTTCTTCATTGCGTTAGTGAAACGTGCGCAAACTAACCACAGTTACTCCAAGTTTCATTTCCTCAGTGCGTATGGGTTGTATGTGCTTTTGCATGACAGAACCAGCACTTCCCTCTCCATGCCATAAGTCAGGCTAACGCCACAGCACTCTTAATCCTCTCTATATGTCCCGGATCAGGACAAACAGGTCCTTAAACTCTTCGTGGTTTTGTTACAGGTATTTGATATTCTTCTGTCCTATGAACCTCTTCTACAAGTGTGTTAGCTTTCTCCCTGTGAAGCTCATCTTTGTGGCAATGAAGGAGGTGGTCAGAGTTCGCAAAATTGCAGCTGGAGTCCACCATGCTCATCACCGTTACCACCACGGGTGGTTCATTATGATGGCTACTGGATGGGTCAAAGGTGAAAAATGAGATACTCTTAATGCAGTCGGGAGGGACGGGGGAATCTGTGAGTGAAGCTTAAGGTGACCACATCCCTCAGTGCCGCGCAGCAGGCGGGCGAGCGGATGTGGTCAGTTGGCTTCGATCAGTCAGGTTCCCTAGAGCACGGGTGTTCACTCATACTTGCAGAATGGCTGTCAGTTGAGTCGCCATCTGACTTTAACGGAGGCGTGGAGAATTGGAATCACTATCAAGTATGGGTGTAGAATTCAAGAATTCTTTATTCTTTCTCCTGTGTTCTACTGTCTCTGGACTCACCTTTATCTTTTCAGGGGGGTTCTGTGAGTGCTGAAACAGCCCAGTCAGTTTTCCTTTAGCTTTTGTTTGGAGCAAACATTTGAGCATCAGTAAATGGAACAGAGGCAAACGCCCTTTCTCTGCATCAGGAAACACTTTATAGAGAGTCTAGAAAGCACTTGCCCTGCTCTGTTCCTTTAGGCTAACTTCTTTTAAATTTGGGAAGAATGTCAGGAAACTTCTGTTCCCCTTAGGTTATCTGCGTCCCTTGGGGATCTAGCAAAGACAGCAGAGCTCTCCCCTGGTGTGGCAGTTCTAGCTGCTCACTTTTACTGTTTCACAGGTTCTGGTGTTGCCTTGATGTCTAACTTTGAGCAACTGCTGCGTGGGGTCTGGAAGCCAGAAACAAATGAAGTCCTTCGTATGTCCTTGTAAGTAAATTCTGTAAATTCTCTGTCAGACCAAAAATGGAATTTAAAGAACCGTTCAGGACTGAATACAAACGATGCAAACCTTCAGGAAAATTTCCTTCTCTTCTAGCCCTACAAAGGCTAGTCTGTATGGCACAGTCCTCTTCACTCTGCAACAAACTCACTGGCTCCCTATCTCTGAAGCCAACCTCATCTTCTTTTTCACCATGTTCATGATAGTTTGCAAGGTAAGTTTACAGCAGGTTCACTGCTAACGCATCTACAGAACCAGAGGAAGGGTGCAGACTTAAACTGGGGGTGTTCACCTTCCTAAGCCACTATTGAGGGCATTGGCTGTACAGAGCAGGAAAGATCTGCTCAGGAAATTGTAGGCTAAATTCTCCCTCACGTAGACAGTGTGGTACAAGGTCCTTGTGATATAGCCTTGAGCAAGAGGGACTTTTGTCTGGGGTAAGGGGAATGCTCCTTACTAGTTAGTATTTCATAGCTCGTGTATGTGATCTTTAACTTTAAGTATTCACTGTTGCATGGCAGGTTTTCATGACGGCAACTCACTCTCACGCCTCACCTTTTGCTCCAGTGGAAAGCTTCATCTGCCCAGTTTTCTTTGGCTCCGTTTCCAGTGGACACACTAGTCATCACCATGATCAGCATGGGGCCTCCCATGAGGTTTCCCATCCTCCGCCTTCTATTGCAAAGTCAAAAGAGGAGCTAAATGAAGGCACAAGGAAACGGAAAGCAAAAAAAGCTGAATAAAAAAGCAACCACACAGTAAATAGGCCAAGAAAATTCTTCCAGAGCTGAGTCTCAAAGCCACCTGTGACCTCCTTTATCCTCCAGTCCTTCTCTCTCAGACTCCAGAGGAGAGGTGGAAGCCAGGACACTGCCAGGCAGGTCCCTGAATTTCATTTGTGCTCTCAGTGCTGCTGCTTGCTTCGTGGTCTCTGTGTCTCTATTCCGATCATATTTTCAGGGATTTGTAGATTTGTGCCAGGATGACAAGTGGGTGCCAGTTCCCAAGCTGTCAGCAATTCTGATGCAGCATTTTCAATTGATGTAAAATCTTTCACTGTGTTTATTTGTGAATGGAGGTAACGGTTTGTGCTCCTGCAACTCATAAGTTTCCTTTGAGTGTTCATTGACCTTTTTGATGTCTACCAAAACAATGCGGTTTGTGCTCCTGCAACTCATAAGTTCCTTTGAGTGTTCATTGACCTTCTTGATGTCTACCAAAACAATTAAACTGTTTAGACACAATCAATGTGGAAATTGGATTTTATACTCAAGGAAATTAAATGGTCTTATATGAGCCTGATGTAATTTTTCCTGGCTCCCACATCTGCCATATCTCCAATTCATGTGACATTTTGTATGCAATAAGTACGTCGACTCTGGTGTCCTGGCCAACCTCTGTTTCTCTCACCTGAGTTCCCTCTGATTCTTAATGGGTAGAACAAGGTCACTTTCTTAACCAAGTCTGTGTTTGCAAGAGCTGTGAAGCTGTGAAGTGCTCCCAGTGCTATGTATTGGTACTGTTATTACTCTAAACTGTTGTGTAGCGTTGCTGCGCGCTGTTACCAATAGTGTGTCACCTCGAACCTGATCATATTTAACCAGGGAAGAAGCACGGTTCTGGTTTGTTTGTGATCCTGTGGGATACCAAGAAAGGTGTGTGAGTGTAAATAAGTATTTATTACTATTTATTTATAATTGCCAGGGCACTTAATTGACTTGAAACTGGCTTTTTTAAAATGTTGCATCTTGATATAGAGAACGGGATACTTGTAAGTATGGTCCTAAGCCCACAGCTACATGCTGGTTTGTGCTTAAAGCAGTGATTTTAATGTGCTTAAGGACAGCCTGAGCGCTCTCACTGGATGCAGGAAGGAACATCTCCTGTGTTCCCAAGTTAAGATATAAAAGCTGAAGAAGTGGATTTCACACCAGCTGATTAAAACTACTTTAATAGACTGATAAACGCACACCAGCTGAAGATATCGATTATCTTTTGTAGGTTCCTTTCAGCCAAACTACTGCTCCGTGAAAGCAGCTTGTGCCCAGGAAGAGTATGAAATGCCTTGCCTGGCTCAGGGAGGAGTCTCTCAGTTCATTCATGTTCTGCTTAGCGAGTACTGGCTTTTAGACTAGTTTTAAGCTGTTCTTATAACTGATTTTGTTCTTAAAAGTGTCATCTTAAGCATTGCACCCAAAAGACCAGAACTTTTCTGAGTTTTTTTTAATCACCAAGGGCTGGGATCGCTGCGGTGACAATGGCACGCGGGGGGATGCGGCACTGGGCTTTCCGTTAAGCAGCAGGTTGCCGTCCCTAGCAATAAAGGTTGCTGCTGCTGTCTTGCAACTGAGAATATAAATAGGAGGATTTAAGAAAAGCGTTTTTATTTTTTTGTGTGTCCCTGTTCAAAATTGAAATCGACGGTTAACTAAAAATAAAAAAATATTCTTGTATACAACCAGATGAAAGCCAGTACAAAAGGTCGAATGATTTGTGGGCTTGGGTTTTGACAGTGCCTTAATTTTGTGAGTTTCCCTCCCCTTCAGTAGAAAACAGGAATTCTACCCGACAACTCAACTGTCTGGTTTTGCAGATACTGGTCTACTGAAACCTGATGTATCACAAGCATGCACAAGACTATAAATGTTTTATGAGATGCCTGATTCAAGGGGAATTTTGTTTTACAAAAGCCATCAACAAATAAAAATTGTGAAGTGTCTCTGATTGTCCACTGACGCTTGAGGAAATACGAGTGTTTCTTTTACTCTCGCCAGCCTCAGAAGCCACACACTCCTTGATCTACCTAAAGTCTCCTTGACCCAATGACAAAATGCTTCTAACTGAAGAGAGAGAACGAACTTTGGCATGTCCTACAAGTACACCTGAGCATGTTCTAAATGGAAATAGCATAGTAAAAGGCCCATTGCTTTTGTTGTGTTTGTAGTGTTGTCATCCAAGCAGACTTTCTGAGATTTCAGGGAGGGAAATAAGGAAACTAACTTCCTTTGGTGTTTGTACCAGTTGACTCTGTCTTTCCTTTTGTCACTAGAAGAAGGAGGACATTCACCTGGGACAGGTAAATATACACACATGCATACAACCACACACACACAATTCTAGTGTATTTATATGGAGTTTCAGTATTTCTATTTGAAACTGAAAAAAATCAAAATGCTTTGAACAAATATGACTACTTATTTAGCAGGATACTGTTAGCTGCTGCTCTGCCTTCTAAGTGCCAGAGTCCTTGCTCTTCAAAGTTGCTAACCAAGAACAGACAGGAGAAATATTCCAACAGATGTTAAAATTAAAGCTCTGTACGCCTTCCCAGTACCTTATCTGGAATGGGATTAGCATTGAGAAGACAACTGCCATAAAGAAGAGTCACAAATTTCATTTAGTGAAGCATTTCGTAGTGAGAGATGTGGAACCTTTCTTGAATTTCCATGGCTCAGCACTGGTAGTATGTGGTACGATTCCAGACAGATGTCCTTCATCCCTAGAAGCAAAGACGGATCTTTCACAAAACAGCCCATTTCAACCACTGCTGCAGGGCCACGGAGTCCTCCAGGGCTGCTTCTGCCCTTCTGGGAAGCCCTTCTGTACCTGTACATACGCTTCTTCCATAAGACTCTGCTCCAGCCAGACTGAAAATGGTAGCTGGGCATTTCCTAGCGGGATGGAGTGATTTGCTTCCATGGCAGAGATGGGCGTGATGAGGAAAACAAGACACAGTTGATCTACTCAGCTCACTATATGAGGACCTGCAAAGGGCTATTTATTTTCTGAAGGGCTTCACTTGTCTCCCCGAAGATCTAACTCTTTTAAAATGTTACTTAATACTCCTTAATTTATCAGAGCAGTTGAGAATTTAAGGTGCATTGGCATGTGGGATTTAAAGTCTCTGTATGACCCAACCAATGGAACAAAGGGTCAGTGCAAACCTTATGCATATTAAAAAAACCCTCCAGAAAAAAGCACTCAAATGTTTCATGTGGTTTAACCATTCTCCTCTCCCATGATATCCATTCCAGTGTTGTGAACAAATTTTGCTCAGGACCTGGACGGAACAATTAAGGAGAGCAGGCTGATGAGAGGAGGTATTTCAAGTGCTTTGAAAAAATCCTGCGATGTCTGAGGAGTCCCATGCTGTGCCGGCTGTGCAGAATGTTCCCGGCTCCAAGCTCCGCTGCAGCACAGGGTAGGCGAGAAGCATGCCAGGGCTTAGACTTCCACGGGACAGACGTCATTCCCTCCAAAGATGTTCTGATCTGATAACTCCTGATACTAACTCTAGTGAGATGTAGCTAAATTTAGCAATGGGTTTAATCCTCAAAGAGGCCCTGGTTGCCTGATGGAAAAAGCAAAGTGTTTCAGTTGCTGCTCTCAGCGTTTCTCGTTGATTGACAGGTTTCCCTTTTCTGTGACACAGAGCCAGCCAAACCCAGCGTCTACAGCTTTCTCACCCTTGCAGATCAGCTTCACAGACAGGGAAAGCTCTACAGCCCTTCCCGTGTTTGCGGAAAAAAAACCCCCATAGGATAACTTTACAGAAAACATTAGTTATTCTTCACAGTAAATGAACTGAAGGAAAAAAAAGGGAAGCCAAAGGAAAGAAGTTCTATACAGAAGAGCTTATGTGAGAAAGGGCAAAGCCATTACAAGAGAGCACCAGTGCTAGAGCAACCAGTGTTCTTGTTTTCCCCTTTTCCTCTTATTATCAATGACAGCATGTACATTCTTCCACATTTTGTCCAAAGAGTAACCAAATTATATAATCCAGCTAAGCGGAAAGACCCAGAAGATAAAGATGGATGTTGGCTTGGCCATCTCCTGAGCAACAGAGAAGTTGTGCCTTTTAACACTTGCCAGGTGATTAGCTGCCAAATGCCTGCTTCCTCCTGCAGCCCATTTCATGGCTGTACGGTGCTTTCAAGGTGTAAAGCACTCAATCGGTGCCAAGAGTGTCAGTCCTAGCGGCGCTCAGGACACACAGAAGCATTAAAAATTACAGCTTTATGCATTTCACAGTAGCGCATCTTTATTTGGGCCCTTAGCTAGAATTGTCTGCTTTACAGTTCTGTTGCTATTCTTTAAAGGACATAACTGGGCACTGCAAGACACACGACGGAGGATTATCCGGAAGGGAGGGCTGGTGTAGCACGGCATTTCCTGCAACTGTAGATACCCAGCTTTCTGCTGCAGCAAGGGCTTTTCTCTCAAGTTGTTTTAGCTCTTTGCCAAAATAATGAGAAATCAGAATATACATCTATAAAAAATTTTCTAGAAAGCTCACAAAGATAGTTTGGATTTAGTAGGAGCTTCTTCCATCTAGGAAGACAGGACACTGAGAAGGCACACTGCTGGCAATGGAGAAAATACGCTGTTCATACCAAAGCTGAGACAGTCACTGCACACAGAGGGCTGACATTTGCCTCTTTAGGATGCTCTCACTATTGGCCCCAAAGAGATCCGGTTTGTCCCGTGTGCCCATCCACGGCAAGGAAAGGCTAATTAAAGGGGTTTGGATTTCATCAGGCACCAACAGTGTGGTTCTTACTTGGTAAACACCCACAAAATTACCTCCCAGCTAAGAATTTAATCCTGCTCTCCTGCGGTCTGAAAGGCAGCAGTCTGTGAGCAAGCTGCGGGGGGATACGGCTCACGGAACAGACAGAGGGTGAGAAAACAAGTCCCCTATCATGCCAGAGCTCACGCTGCATTGTGACTCACAGTTGCTACTCACTTCAGCTCTGTGATGACATTTCTGACAAAAAGAAGATGTCGGTAGTGCTAAGATCAACAATCGTGCATATCTTTGAGTCCGGTCTTTCTTTTACCCTTGTGCGTTCGCATTTTTCATTCATTACCCCTACAAAAAGTACCGTTTATAGTATTTTCTATCGTGACTCTTATCTGTTTCCTGTATGTTCCAAAAGAGAATTTGGGGAGGAATTTTTTTAGAGAGCTTGCAAATGTAACCTTTTAGGAAGAATAAGTGTGACACAGTGATTTCATCTTAGCTTTAGGGTACAGGTAGGCTATAGATGTGGAATGCAGGAAAACAGGTCTGATACGTTCAGAGGCTCAAACATTTTTATAGCCTGAGGAAACCCAGAACATCACTGGAAAAGATTTGGCTGGTCGATTTTGTTTGGTTTTGATCTTCAAATTACAGAAAGCTCACCAGAAACTCTAACACACGTGCTGCATTCCCGCAGAAAGCAAGCTGCTGCTCTTCCAATTACCCCGGCCCCTGACGCTCCTCCATCGAGCTGCACACTTTGACTTGCTGAAAAAAGATCTGTTGGGGACTTCTGGTCCCACTGCAACCAACTGCTTGAATCGGTGCGTGAGCTAATTTTCTTTGATTTGTTAGTGACAAGAATTGGTGTGATCAGTAATAATGACAGGTATATGCCGTGTGAGATGCATTTAGCATGTCGCAGACTACAGTGCCTTGAAGATCAGTCTAAAAATCCATGACTTTAGAGTCCTAACATTGGCTTAAATTAGATTTAGACTAATGTAGGCTAAACCCTAATGTAGGCTCTCTGTAGTGTTCATCTCTTAAGGTAAGACGCTTCGTCTCCCTGCCTGTTTGATTTATGACAGATTAGGATGTCGGTTAATCTCTTCTTATTTGGCTAGATGACTGTAGAGATTAATCAAGTATTGTCTGCAAAAGGAACCCATAAATACAGATTACCAATTTTTCTTTAATTATTCCTCCGTATGCCAGAGGGATACAGAGGGAGGACAGACAAGGATAGACACCAGCCTCTTAAATCTCATTTCACGAGAGAAACAGAAAAACCGCAGCAGCTGCTCTGGCTGATACTGGTTTTCTCTAACATGCTCAGTTCAGTTTCTTGGAAAAGGCAAAAAGCCACAGAAATAATAGATTATGGTCTCCTGTGAGAAAATGGGGAAGCAGAAAGCGGCTCTTGAGCGAGTGAATCTGCTTGGTCGGTACAGCACCGTCTCTCTTTCCACAGGACGTGGAGAAAGCCGCATTTCTTACAGGAAAAGCTACGCTGAGCAAATACAGAAACACATATTGAAACAAACCAAAATAGCACCGTGCTGTGAATGTTGGAAACCAGACGCGCATGGAAGAGACAGTGAAAAGCACGCTCTGTGAACGGGAGGTGGAGACACCTATTCTGAGGGCCTCTCCTGAGGTGGTTGCACCAGTTACCTCCTCTCCCTGCGCATTCCAAAGGCATTTGGACAAAGATTTTGTTTTTCCACTTGTTCTCTGTTGGCAGCTGCAGTTTCCTGCCTTTGAGCTTGTAAATTACTACATTTTTCTTTCTACCTTTTCCCATGTGCTGCTTTTTTGGGGACAGTACCCCCCAGTCCAAACGTAGCCACAAAGAAGTAAATATTTCTTGTGCACAGTTTAAACACCTTTTAGTGAATTCACTCTTGCACAGCTTGACAGAAGGCAAATAGTGACGGGGCACAGGCATACATAACACAGGATGTTAAGAAACCTACTTTAAATGCCTGAGTGTCTGAACCATAAATGACATCGCTGCTGGCAGGCTTACGTGATGCTAAAATACAGAGACAATTATCTGTAAAATAGTCAAGGGTGGTGAACAAAGGGAGCTCAGGTGTACGGCACCTGATAGGGAGCACATTTAGTGCTTGGAAAGAGACCGTGGGGATTCAGCCCAAGTGACAAACACTGGTTGCTATAGAGATATCTGTCCTCTTCAAATACAGATGGATCGCTCCAGGATGCGGTGAAGTTTCACTGCATCTCAGTGCAGACAGTCAACCATCTCCCGCTGTCCCTGTCAAAGTAGCTGAAATTTTCCCAGGCTTTCCTTAAAAGAAGGAGCATCCAGCTTTCCGGAGAGGGGCACCACTGACTGGTGTTCATTGCTGTTAGTCATCTCCTCTCTAATGAGCAACCTCTGCGGAGGAGAGCTGAGGGAGCCCAGAGAGCAGCATGAGCTTCAGTCCAGATACACGCCGGGATCTTCTCCGTGGGAAGATGGTTCCTCTTCCTTTCCAGCCCTCCAGCCTGGTCCGAATCTTCATCAGCTCAGTTTTTTCAGGTAAATAAGCTGAAAAGTCCTGAAGCTGCTGAATGCATCAGGCACTCTCTGCGAGCGTCTGCAAAGTGTTGCAATGCAATGAGACTACTGTGCTTAGCAGCGAAGCGGTAAGCTTGCAGCTTGATTTGAAAGTGAAGGTGCCCATAATCTGCTGCATTTTATATACAGCTTTATTCTGTCACACCCAATTTGCACTTAGAACATGCCCGAGACGGCAGAATTCTGCATTAGTTCAGGAACTAATGGTATTTGCAGCGAAGCCAAATTCACCCTAGGCGCAGCGCAGCGCCTGTCTGCACACACGGCAGCAAAGTTTGCAGGCTTTCTGGAAACCCTGGGCAACACACATTCGATTCCCATCCGCCACTGTAACAGCAAGAAAGATTTGTGAAGAACTTGTCTTCTTGGACAATATCCAAATATTTCCCACTTCCTCTGCCTGCTGGGACACAGTTGCCAGACTGAGCTCCTAAAGTGGTAACTGGCAGTGGGCAGCAATGACTCAGATTTTCAGGAATTACAAAACTCAGTTTCCCCTTCCCCTGAAAATCATTCACCCCGTCTCCATTTTTAAATAAGAAAACCCAGGCTTACACAGGCTCTCAATTCCACAAAAAGTGCCTTCCAAAGAAAAAAAAAATACTGCAGCATCTCCTCCAGTAGGATGTAACGCGATAAGAAGCTCTTTGGCCAGCGAGGTGTTTCCAAGCCAAGCAGACAAGTCAGCATTTACAGAAACGGTTATCGTTGCAGTTTCTGGGAGGAATGCGTGAGAAGTGCAGACAGTCTGAAATTAGTGGGCATATAAGGACTGAGGTAGTGTTAAGGTTTTACCTACAACACCTGTCCAAGTTGTGGCAGACCTCATGTATTTTCAGGAACAGTTTGGGGATGAAGGACATGACATGTGATTGGATTCTCACCAAAAGACAGGGTTATAAGTTAAACTCGCTCTCTCACTGTAAGGTTTGGAATTCATGTGGGCTGGAGAGTAAAGCGATACAAGGATTTCCTGTAACTGCTGCAACCTTGGTGAGAGGTAATGAATTATTCCAGGGGTATTACACCGAGAATGCTCGCTCCCTGTTGGACAGCAGTGCAGACACGATAATTCCTAAACCAAGGGAGCCCTCTCCTCATCTGACGCTGGCACAGACTTCATTAGTGATCACTTTTCACTTAGAACAGTCCCAAGGAAAGCTGCAGATACAGCCATTCCCCATCCTAATTTTAGCATTGCCTCTTGTACTGCTTTATCATATGATTATGTAGTGCTGTGAATGTTTACATAATTTTGGGGAGAGAATATTCCAGTTCTGAAGAAATTATAATCTCAGATGATATGCAAGGAGAAAAATGCCCTTTATATTCCCTGTGTCTTTTAATTTTGCAGCTGTGAAAAGTATCCATGAATATAAGATCAGTGAACAGGAGAGGGTGTACACGTGTGGGCACTGCGAGTGAGCACTCATGTTTGTGTTCGTGTGCATATATGTGCTTACCTTTTCTCCTACTCGGTTTGTCTTCTTAATTTATCTTAAATTTACCTAGTTTGCGGTTTGATTTAATTCAGCGAATATGTCACTTAAAAGGTGTCACAAAGAGTTTTCTAGAAAGTGGTAATCTCTCTTGTAAAAAGCACAGCAGGGGAAGCGGCCATAAAACTTTCGCAGACTTGACTGTGTATGAAAAGATTCCCTGTGGGTAGAATTGCCTTTTATTGTGGCTATTTATCACTGCCGAGATGGCCAACAGTGTGGCTGAGTGGTCTTAAAAGAGGATGGAGGAGTCGCCGCAGCAAGGTGTAAGAAATATATTTTTCTGGATCGATGCCGCTGTACTGTATTCTGTAACTATGCAATCCAAAATTTCCAGATCCAGAGTTTTCATATTAACAAATAAAAACACAGTGTGGCAAGCCAGTATATAACCTTGAAAATGCACTCACTTTGGTAACAGGCACAAGCCTTGCAGTTATCTGGAAACCACAGTTTTATAAGACTTAACCACAATGCCATCTATGTGAAACTCAACATAGATTAGGTGATAGCAACATGAACTGCATTTTCAGTGCAAGGTCTAAAATGACAAGTAGACAACCTGGCTCCCAATTCCTAACTTCTGGTGTGCTGCACAAATCCTTCCACGCAGACATGGCTACAGAAAGAGAGACCCTCCTGGAGAAAGCATACCCAGAAGCGCAAGCCTTCTGCCAGAAGCACGGCCTAATGTTTGAGGTAAATCACTTCTCTCCTGTCTATCCTGTCCAAAGGCCATCAAAATATGTGTGACGGAGGAAAAAAAAACCCAAAATGCTCATAGGTTTTCCACCTCCTTAGAAGCCTCCTAGGAGTCAAACACTGCTGTACCAATTTCCTAGAAGTTTTGGATTAAGTATAGTTCTATGCTTGAGTTGTAGGGATTTCAGGGAAGAGTTCGGTGGCTAACCATCTTCGAGCGCCTGGACATGAGGGTTTACATCATCCCTTTGTTTCTATATTCAATTGGAAAAAAAGTTCCATGTATAAATTCCACTGGATATACTACAGAGGTAGTTGAATTAGTTCTAATTATACTAATTAGCACAGAACTTCTAGCATAGAAGGGGCTGTTGAAATGTGGAGGATCCTTGTCTTCTGTGATAGAAGAGAGGCTTGAAATGTTGCAGCAAATAACCTACAGTCTCGAGGTTCCTTGTCCTGAAAGACTCCGTTGCTTACTTGGTGATCCATGGTTCAAATCCCCAAGTCTTTCACAGGAGAAATCCCTACCAAGTGATTTTGAATATCTCAGTGTCTCTTGCAGAGTTCCAGAAATTAAAGTTGCATACCACTAGTGTTCAGACTGATCTAAAAACTAAACGTGATAGAATGATTTAATTTTCCCACGTCACTGTTTTCAAGATAGTATTGACTAAAATACTTAAAATACCTTAAAAATGTATTTTTGTGCAGGTAATTGACTTGAGATGGGGTATTTCTGAGCTTGTCGACCCTGATCACACAATCACACAACTCTCTCTAGAAGAAATTGAAGCCTGTCAGAAACTGTCGGCTGGTCCCACCTTCATCGTAAGTGCCAGCACCGCGGTGCCTGCTCCGTCCCTATGGCTAAAGTGAGACATCCAGAGCAGGTCACACACCCTCAGGAGGTCTGCTGGACAAATAAGGTGGTTTTCAAAATTAATTAGCCTGCCTGAGCAGCGTCACAAATCAGCTAGCTGATGGGGCTGAGATGTCAATAACTGCCAGGAGTCCCTAAAAGGAGCACTGACAGGCACACACATACAGTCCAGCCCCGAACACAGGGGCTCTTCAGAGCAGAAGATAACAGGGCTTGTGTGTATTAACTAACAGATAGAAGAGGCAGATGGAGATACACGTAAGGCAAGAAGCTCTTGCTCTAAGCCTGCTTCCTGACCAACACCTCAATATTGAGGAGATCTTCTCCTAAGGAATAAATACAAATTCTCCATGCAAAGAACCAGAAAGGAAAATGCCATAGCAACCACCGGGGACAGAGCGGGGCGCCACGCTGCAAGCTCATACCTGTTCCGTGCTTCTGCCCTACTTGTATCCCTCTGATCACTCTTTCTGTCCACTGAAAGCTCCCCACAGCAGCAGCCCACCTCAGCTTCCTTGAAGCGCTTTGGTGACAGCCTTGAACAGAAACCCACACCCAGAACTTTCAGCCTTGCAGGAGAAAGGAGGCTGAGACACCTGCAGAAGTGCCAGGTAGCTTCCTCAGGTTGTTTTGGTTTTAGAAAGGGAGAAAGCAAGTTTTGGTGAACAAAGAGAATAAATATGCAGTCCCAGGAGGCATATTTGAAGCCACAAGTAAATAAATAAGCAATTAAGTATTTGTGTAAGTTGTGACTGATTTCCCCTGAGACACTTTCCGCAGAGGCCAGCAACGGAGAGGCAGAGACCATGCGAGCCTCACCACAGCGACACCGCACCCACGAGCTCCCTGCAGCTCAGAGCTCCGCTATCAGCGCCGTTCGGCACACGCAGGTGGCACTAGCCGGCACTCGGGCAGTGTCTCCCTCAGACTGGCTCTACGTGTGTACGTAGAAATCTCCGTAGAGCCAGCGACAAAGGTTTGACTACTCCCTCTTTCCTTTACGCACCCCAGAAGGGCCCTGCTCAAGGATTACACTGTGGGTTTGTGCTCTGAGCTCATTCTGGCTGTTTCCCACCTGCACGGACACAGGACGCTGACCTCTTTCAGGATCCCCCTCTTCCCCAGCTCAGCCTTCCGTCCTAATCACAAATGCCCAGGCTCAGTCCTGTTCCCTTAATTCTTCTCCACCCCAAAGCCAATTTTTGGTCGAAGTCCCCAAACCCATTCTGCTCCGTGCTTCCACGGCCTCACCTCCAGCACTCTCCCCCCGCAGACCCCCTGTAAAGGCCTGAGGGTCAGCTGCCGTAAAGCCGCTTCTCCCCAGCCATAGGGCAGGCTGGGACTCTGCCTGGCTGTCCCCAGCCGACACGGAAGCCACACAGGCGCTGTGGTTACCAGCAAGTTTTCTGAGCAGCCCTCCCTGGCAATCCTAGGTGCTACGGCAAGCGGCCAGTCCACATCCCAGCTGTCACCGCAGAAGCAGTGCCTGAATGCCGGACCTTTTTTGCTTGTTGCAGGGACTCCTGGGGGACCACTGCGGGCACCAGCCTGTGCCTCGGCTCATTGCGGAGAAGGAATTTGAGGCCCTAACTCTGCAGCTGTCAGAGGACGCTGCCCAGCTCCTGGCACAGTGGTACTGGCGGGACGAGAACGCGCTGCCCACCTGCTATGTGCTGCAGCCGGCGGCCGGGCAGGGCTGGCATTGCCTGGAGGGACGCCTGGCCGCAGCGCTGCGCGTGGCAGCGCGGAAGGCAGAGAGGTGTGGGCTGCTCAGCCCAGAGCGGAGGCGCTGCTACCACAAATCAGGTGTGTTCTGGCAGGGCTGTAATGTCCTTCTAACCAGGGCTGTGAGGGAGCACAGCTGCCTGTTTCAGGACAACATGACATTGCATACAACAGGAAAGATGCAGGGAAGGAAGAGACTTGCTAACTCCCTGCCGTATCCCGAATCCTGCAGAGGGAGGTTGGTGCTGACGAGCAAACAGTAATACACCAGATAGAAATGTTTCTCCTTTCCCCCCCCAGTCTCCCTGAGCACATCCAGGAGTACGCCCAGCTCAGAGGACATGGGCAATGCTGACCTGCTAGTGTCATGGGGAATAGAGAAGGACCGAGGGATGTCACATTGATGTTGATGGATGGCTTTTCCTGTGTTCTGTGCTGAAACCAAATGCTCACATCTCCCTTCTTTTTTTTTTTTTTTTTTGTAGCGATTGAATGGGAGATTGAACAGGGTCTCCTGCCTAGCCAGCAGAGCAACCCGGGGACTTTCATATTCCTCAGAAATGTTGAGGATTCCAACAGACAAATTGGGCACGGGACAACCAGTGAGCTGTTAGAAAAAGAGGACAATCTGGACAATGAAGCAAAACAGCTGTTCAGCAACCTTAAAGCAAAAATTGCAAGCTGTTATCCCCAATACCTCAAAGTACACACACTGGCATACAGTAAAGACTCTGGGAACCCTCAGTGCAAGGAGAACAACAAATACCTGAAACAACTTTGTGAGCAGTTCACTGCTGTCACTAATCACCAGGTTTTAGAGAATCTTCGATACCGAGGACAGATCAGTGAGGAGCCAGGGCGACTTCTGCAGGAGCTGGGCCACCACACAGCTCTGTGCCTGAAGAGCTGCAGATTTTTCTGTGGGAGACAGAATTTACTGGATAGCATTTTTCACTGTATCAGGCAGAACAATGATAAAACCCACAAAACCCTCATCCTTTATGGGCCACCAGGCTGTGGAAAAACAGCTGTGATGTGCAAACTATCTGAGCAGGTGCAAGCTGTTTTAGGGCAAGACAGTGTAGTTGTGATTCGTTTGCTGGGAACATCCCAGCCCAGTTCTGCCATTCACAGCCTGCTGAGGGATATTTGTCTCCAAGTGTGTTTAGCATTTGATTTGCCACCACCCCCAACCCAGACCAAACAAGCCTGCAGTGATTTGGTCTTGTTTCTCAGTAAACTCCTCCTCACTGTCTCCCGTTGTGGCACACAGACACTGGTGGTGTTCCTTGACTCTGTGGAGAGATTACTTCCTGCTG